ATTGCAGCAGGGGGAAGTTGTGCAGCAGAGAATAAGATGGTTATCAGAGGGGATTTAACTGGTTGTAATGGAGGGAGAGGAAACTGGTTATTTTTGAAGTAGTTGTAATAGAGGAGAGGAGAGGAGAGGAGAGGAGAGGAGAGGAGAGGAGAGGAGAGGAGAGGAGAGGAGAGGAGAGGAGAGGAGAGAGAGGAGAGGAGAGGAGAGGAGAGGAGAGGAGAGAGGAGAGGAGAGGAGAGGAGAGGAAGAGGAGAGGAGAGGAGAGGAGAGGAGAGGAGAGGAGAGGAGAGGAGAGGAGAGAGGAGAGGAGAGGAGAGGAGAGGAGAGAGGAGAGGAGAGGAGAGGAGAGGAGAGGAGAGGAGAGGAGAGGAGAGAGAGGAGAGGAGAGGAGAGGAGAGGAGAGGAGAGAGGAGAGGAGAGGAGAGGAGAGGAGAGGAGAGGAGGAGAGGAGAGGAGAGGAGAGGGAGAGGAGAGGAGAGGGAGAGGAGAGGAGAGGGGAGAGGAGAGGAGAGGAGAGAGGAGAGGAGAGGAGAGGAGAGGAGAGGAGAGGAGAGGAGAGGAGAGGAGAGAGAGGAGAGGAGAGGAGGAGAGGAGAGGAGAGGAGAGGAGAGGAGAGGAGAGGAGGAGAGGAGAGGAGAGGAGGGAGAGGAGAGGAGAGAGAGGAGAGGAGAGGAGAGGAGAGGAGAGGAGAGGAGAGGAGAGGAGAGGGAGAGGAGAGGAGAGGAGAGGAGAGGAGAGGAGAGGAGAGGAGAGGAGAGGAGAGGAGAGGAGAGGAGAGGAGAGGAGAGGAGAGGAGAGGAGAGGAGCACCCGCTGCCCGGTGCATTCCAGGTGTTTGCTGAGCCCAGATGTTTGCTGATGGGCTCCCTGAGAAATCCTTTCCTTCTCTCCTGAGCAGACCCTGCCAGCCAGGGCTGTCCTCAGGTCTCACCTGGCAGTCCAACAAGCCAGCCAGATTCCTCCAGGACTCTTCCTGCCCTTCCTCTTCACCTGCACAGGGGGATCCAGCAGAGAGCTCAAATCTGGGCTCCTAAACCTGATGGAGGCTGCTCCAAATCCCTCCCGTGGCTGAACCTCCCCTCCAGCCTCTCCTGGCCTCCCTGCAGGGTGTGGAGCTCAGTGGTGCTCTGGGGGTCTGAAGGGGCAGCGAGGGGCTGCTGTACCACATGCTTTGGGGGAGTCTCAGGAAGCAAGAACCGTGCTTGTAAGGTTGGATTCACCCTTGGCCCGGGTGCTGGAGCTGCACAGATGTGAGAGTTTGTGCTAGCAGCAGTGGGAGGATGTGGTCCTGACACCCTTCCTGCCACCACTGTCCCCTCCCTCCACCTACCCGAGGTGGAGATGGGAAATCACCCCTCACCTTTCCGAGTTGTTAAATCTTTGTGTCTCTCTTCTGGCACAAGTGCTGCTGCATTCACCCAGGGTGTGTACGCCCTTACACACAGCAGTTTGGGGTCCTGGTGTCTTGGAGATTTCTCCTGGCTTATTTAGGAACCAAAAAGTTGGAGTTTAGCCCCAGCAGGTGATGGTCTGCTGAGAGAATCACGAAATGGAATCACAGATTGGCTTGGGTTGGCACAGACCTTAAAGATCATCTTGTTCCAGCCCCTGCCAAGGGCAGGGAGGCCAGTGACACTAAATCAGCTCCGAGCCCTGTCCAGCCTGGCCTCGATCAGCTTTGATCCAACCCCCCCAGAAGGGAGCTGATAAAGAGCTGTCTGTCTCAGGGAGCAGCAGTGCCATTCTGCACCCCTTTGCAGATCAGCTGCAGAGGTGAAAGGAGCTGGTCTGACGTGGGCAGGGTGGTCCATGGCAGACCCAGACATCAGCCCCAAATCCCTCCTGGGTCATGCAGGGGGCTTTACCCCATGAGAGCCCTTCCTTGGACCCCAAGGTTTATCTCAGGGATAGTGAACAAAACCCCAGTGGGGGAGGAGGTGGAATTCAGGCCCAGCTGTGGGATATGTGCAGGGCTGTTCTCCCCACCCTGCAGCCCTTCAGGGGCACACACACTGTCTCCCTGCTCATTTCCCACCCACCTTCCCCCCCGTGTGTTTTCCAGCATCCCACTGTGGGCAGGCAGGGAGCTTTGGGCTCTGCACTGACACAAATAAAAGAAATAATTTTATTTTTATCTTACAATACACCCTTTTGATTCTCACGCCCACAGTGCCAGGTCCTGTCCTGACAAGCGGGGAGCCCCTGGCGCTGTGGGCGTTTGTCAGCAGCCCAAAACAGCAGCAGGGGGTGAGGAGAGGAGAGGAGGGACATCTGGGTTTCTGCTGTGTCCCAGGGCACAGAGCCTTGGTGATCCAGCAACAGGGAAAGGGCTGAGGGGAAGGTGTGTGTGTGGGGGGATGTGGGGTGTGGATGTTTTGGGCAGAAAACATCCTGTACACACATCCTGTGTGTACCTGGTGGAAAGCCAGGATGGAGTGGGCTGCTGTTGAGGGCGGAGTGAGGAGTTGTGTCGTGCTCCACGCCGTGGGAAAACATCGCTGTGCTGTGGCATCGCTGTTATGGGGCAGGCAGCAAACTCCCCTGAGCCTGTGGGGAGTGGGAGCTGGGGAACAAGGGGGTGATGTGTGGAGTAAGAGCCTAAAGCTGCTGCTGAAGTGTGGGAACCCAGAGCTTCCCTCTGGCTGCCCTGGGACCCTGGCAGGGGTCAGGAACCCCCCTGGACAGAGCCCCCAGAGACACTGGCTGTGATCTCTGCCCATGGAAAAGAGTTTTCAATCTTACAGGATTAATTACAAGCTCTGAGTGTTTGATATAAGCAATAATTAAGTGTGGCATGGGTGCAAAAGTAAAATTTTAGGATTCTAGATTAGGGGTCCAAAGGGGACAAGATGGAGGAAATTGGGTGTGCCTTGTCCTTTTTCTCCTTCTTCATGCCCTCCATGTTTCACTGCGGTGTTGGCATTTTTCTGTTGGTTCAGGCTGGGGACACACTGTCCAACGTAGGTGACAGATATTGGCACGTTATTGTAAATCCAGCACAGGTAGTTTGTGGTATTTAATGTTTGTACCATCCCACTGAGGGCAGAGCCCCACACGCTGCCCTGCAGGACAGAGCTGCGGCAGGGCAGCAGAACATGTTAGAGATAAACAGAATAAACAACCTTGAAACAGCACAGACCAATTATGGCTTCTGCTTTGGCAATGGGGCAGAAAGACAGAGACTTTCTACAATCTCAGAATCATCAATACCCCAAATTCCGACACTGGAGGAAGGGAAGAGGGGCTGGCTGCTGAGCTCGGCTCCTCTCCCTCCCTGCAGAGCGCTGCCTCTGCTCTGTGCCTCAGTCTGTCCAAATGACATCTGCAGGCATCAGGTCATCACTCCTGCTTCTGGCTGTGATATCACATTGCCAAGGAGAAGGGAAAAAGTCTTGGCCCAGAGCTTTGACAGCCTTTCAGCAGCTTCTTTCATCCCCCAGCCAAGCCGCTCTGTCCTACAGCACCTCTGCTTGTTCCTCCTGACACCAGAAAACCTGAACCCTGCTCCTCCTGCCTCCCCACCCCCAGATCCACAGATTGCTGTTTCCCTTTCATGCTGTTTACAGAACTGGAACAGGGATGAATAGTAGGAAGCAGTGAATGAGCTGCAGGCTGGCTCACAGCTCCTTGCAGAGCAATCACACCCCAGTGCTGAGGATCCCACAAATCCCATCCAAATACTGAACCATGGACCCCAAACACTCAGCTGAATTTCACCATAATGTCCTTGGTTTGTTGCTGTGTAGCTGGTTGCATCTACATCTTACTTCTCCTTGTGAGAACTTGCTTCAAAGTCTCAGATGTCTCTTATTTCGCTCATATTATTCAGAATAAAGTAGCCTCCTAGGCAGGGGGTTACTGCTGGTCATGCTGGCCATGGGGAGCAGGTAGAGCATTGCTCAAAGGCCTGGGTTCTCCAGCGGGTGAAAATGCTGGGAAAACAGGTTTTTGGCTCCTGTTGGGTGTGTGGTCATGGCTAGAGGCTGTTCCCCTTTTTGGCCCTTTTGGAGTTGAGCAGTGCAGTGCAGTACAGTTTGGGGTAGGTTGCATTTAGCAGGATAAGAAAGTGATGTTGGAAGCAGACTTTTGCCACCCTGTTTACAAATCCTGTTATCCTGGAGCTGGAAGGAACCGGGCAGCAGGAAACCATTCCTTCAGTGGCAGCAAACACCCAGCCCCAGAGCCTCTCCCCACAGCTGCTGCCAGGGCACTGCCAGCACCTCTCCCAGCACAGCTGCTGCTCCTTTCCATCTCCCCTTCCTGCTCCTCTGATCTCTATGCAAATCCTTGCACCAACAGCAGCCAGCAAAACCCAGCCAAGCCTGGCAGGTATCTTTCGATTTGGGTAGTGTTTAATGCGGGGGCCTCTTTAGATTAATTGTGCCTTAACAGAAACAGAGCCGGAGCAATTATCCGGTCTGAAAGATAGCCGTGAGTGGGGCTTCACTGGGGTGGGATTTTATGGTTTTAATGGGAAAGGGAAAGAGGGGAAGAAAAAAGAGAAAAATAGGAGAAAGGGGAAGGGGAAATAAAGGGAAGGGGAAATAAAGGAAAGGCAAAAAGGAAAACCGTCGTCTCTAGTGCTGGAGAACTATCCCGAAGTCTTTTCTGCAGGCAGGACTCTGCCCCACGGAGTCTCTATCACGGATTATGTTTAAATAAGAGTTGCTGGCGTTCGGTGAGCCCAATGCAGACCGTTCATGCCACCGCAGGAGCAAGTGCTGGGACATTCCCTTCGCTTTGTGCCCGGGCGTTTGCAGCGGGCTCTCCCCGTTAGCTCGAACCCAGGCCGGTGGGCGAGCTCCGTGCCCGGCTCCGGGGGGCTCCGGGGGGCTCGGGGGGCTCCGTTCTCCTCTCGGCGGGGCTCTGGGCGGGCGCCGCTCCCTCCTCCCATCCCGTCCCTCCCTCCTCTCCTCTCTCCTCCTCTCCCTCCCAGCCCGATTGTGCAATCGCGAGCGGCGGGGCCGGCGGCACCGCCCGGAGCTCGGCACCGGGGGGAGGAGGCGGCAGCGCCCGCCCGCCCCGCGCCTCCTCCGGGGCCGCCCCGCCGCGCCGGGGATGCGGCAGCCGCCGGGCACCGCCGGGCCCCGGAGCCCATGGGATGCGCCCGCCGTCGCCTGGCTGGTGAGTGCCTTGGCTTTGTGTGCCCCCCGCCCCCAACCTGCTGCTTGTGCCCCGCACCACATTTTCCGTCTCTTTTCCTCCCTCTTCTCTTCTCCCCCCCCACCCCCGCCGGTGATGGATGGCCGGGAGGATGAGGATGTTGCCACGGGCAGAAATCGGTTGCAGATGAGGCGGACTTGGGGGGATCTGCTGTGCGATCGTTAAACTGTTTCCACCGCCGCTGTAGCTCGAGTAGAATAAAAGCCTGCGAGCCGGGGAGCCGCGCTGTGCCGGTCGCACATCTGTGGTACAGAGTCCTTCCCTCCTTCCCTCCTTCCCTCCTTCCCTCCTTCCCTCCTTCCCATCCCTGTCCGGGTTTGAAACAAAAGTGCCGAGAGAAGAACGGGAACGCTCAGTATCGATTAACCGCACCACCAGCGGACTCAGCGTAGTTGAACGTTCATAAAAGAAGTTTTCCCGATGGCAAAGCAGTAAACTTTTGTTCCTTGAAAAGTTCATCCCGGGGATTAATTTACATCCTTGTTTCATGGAAATACTTTAGGCATTTACTGTAAAGCTTATAGCCAATATATTCCTACCTGTTTTTTGAACCCCAACATAGCATTTCAATGTGTCTCAGTATTTGCAGCAATTTTTATTTGTTCCGTACAATAGTGTCTGCATTTTAAGATCAGTGGGGATTTCTCTTTTTCTCTGGTAGGTGTTTCAGGAACAGAACATGCTTTAGCTCGCTTTCGGGCTGCATTAAAGTTGATCTGGACAATCCCTTATTGCCTACTAACATTTCTCTTACGAGGGCACCAGCAAATTCTGCTCCACTCCACTCTACTCCACAATTTTTACATATAGGATTAACCCCATCAAATTAAAAATTCAGGCTGTGTGAAACATTTGTGGATTTAGGACACGGTAGCTTTTCCATGTGGGTTTTTTTGGGAAAAATCTGAACCCTGCTGAAACAAGTGGGAAAGGTCCTAGCGATACGGAGGGACCCAGATTTTCCCTTGTATTTTTAGCCGAAGGACTCAGTGCCTTCTTTGCAATGTCCAGCCAGCCAAAAATCAGCTGCATGCACTGGGCACTTCTGCCTTTTGAAGGCAGTCTCCCATCTCGTAAAAGGCTGCTCGCCTCAAATTTGCAAACCGCAGGATGGGAAATGGAATTTGCCTTCAGTATGAAAATCCCAAGTGTTTGCAAACAGCCCTGAGAAGAATCCGGGCTCTTGGCGTGACCTCCCAGCGCTGAATTCCAGCCCGGGGAGTTTGCGGTCTCACAAAAAGGGCAAACGAGCAAAGTCTTCCCAAGTGCCCGCTCGTCTTTCCGGAGCAAGGAAAACGCTGGAGCTGGAGGGAATTTGGGTGCTCTGGAGGTGCAGGATGGGCCCTGAGCCAAAGTGCTTTTCGAGGAGCCTTGAAGAGCTGCCCGTGTTGGAGTGGCTTTGCTTGCGGCATGCGCTGGCACTGCCGAGGGTGGATTGAGCTGGTGCAGCCACGGGAAGCCTGCCCGAGGAGCAGAGGAAACTCCTGGGACGTTATTGCTGCCCAAACTCCGCGCTGGTCCCGGTAAAGTTTCAGCAGTTCCTCTGCCAGATCCCATATCCGAGCACGGGGCAGGCAGAGCCAGGTTCTTGCTCCGTCCTTGGGCCTTGCTGCTGCTCTTTTTGTTTTGTAGCGTGCTGGAAAAACCCACCCTCCTCTGTGGCTGCAGGGGCTCCGAGATCCCCTGTGCCAAAGCAAGGAGTGCAGTACAGGGGTCCAGCATGGCTGAGGGCAAACTTCACACCCGCTCAAATCAGACTCTTAAAACCCTGAACAGCTGATAAAATTGTCCTTCTGGGGGAGTTCAGGAGTGAGAGTGAGGGGTGGTCTGTCCTCTGTTAGCCCTGGCAGCGCTGTGCCTGCTGTTCTCCAGACCTTTGTTTCTTGTGCAGTGCTGTGTAGGGAGGGAGGGCCATGGGGGCCGGGGCTTTCCTGGACATAAATTAGCACCGAGGGTGGGAAGGGAACAGCCCAGCACCCAGGGCAGCAGTTGTGGAGCTGGGCTGGGCTGCTGCCCCATTCCCTCAGGATTTCAGCTCTGTGGAGCTGAGCCTTGGGAACGGCGTCAGCATGGAGCCCTTGCTCCAGTCACTCTTAGAGGTGGTTTAAGCCTCCTTCTTCTCTGACACAGAGCCCAGGCAGCCTGTCCAGAGGGGTGAAGGGAGTGCTGTTCGGGTCACAGTGGGATTTCTTTGTGGGACCAATCCTGCATTTTTAGCAGAAATGGTCTAAATGTCGAGTGTGAGGTCAGCCCTGGTAGCCACTGAAAATACCAGCTGGGCCGTGGGCTGTTACATTACCTGCAAACCCCTCTGGCCTTGCACTTCCGTGAGGTTTTCTTCTTTGGCCAGTGCCATGGGTAAATAACACAGACACTGGAAAAAACCAGTGCCATCAGAACTGAGGAGGCTCGTGTGGCGTGAAGCAGAGAGTAAAAGAGGGCAAAACCACATCAGGTCAGTGAATTTCTGCTGCTGTGACCAAGATATGGCCTGAATGGGTACGAAGGGAGAGGGAGACAGTGGGAAGGATCCTAAAAGACCCACAGCTCCATCCACAACTCTTTTCTCGGTTCCTCTTTCCCCTTCTTGCCCCAGCAGCTGGGAACCTGATCCTGCAGGCGCAACCCCGCTGCGCTGGGTTTTTATGCAAGTTTGGTAATGAATGACCGAGGCAGGCGAAAGCCAGCGTGGTTGGCATCCGAGACAGCTCCCCTCGCTGCCTGCAGGAATTAAAAAATCATCATCCCGGTGGCCACTCTGCACTGGAACTGGTTTTATCTGGTTCCAGTTAGGCTTGTTTTGAGTGAGGCGAGCGGTGCCAGATTCTGATCTCATTTGCACCAGTGGAGTCATTTGGAGGAGCCGGTCCCAGTTTACCTCACTCGGAGGGAAAGCGGAGCGGCGCTGCGGGGTGAAGCTGTCCCGGGGCAGTGCCCGGTGCCTGCCCGGTGTCTGCCCGGTGCCTGCCCAGTGCCTGTCCGGTGCCTGCCTGGTGCCTGCCCGGTGTCTGCCCGGTGCCGTGCCCGGTGCCGTGCCCGGTGTCTGCCCGGTGCCTGCCCGGTGCCTGCCCGGGGGAACAGCCGCGGGACCGAGCCCGGTGCTCCGGGCCGGGGGCTGCTCGGGCTCCCCACGGCGGTTCTGTGCTGCAGGAGGAGGAGGAGAGCCCCCCTGTTGAACACAAAACAACCAAAGTCGTTTTATGCGGTGCTTTATTGAGGGCCCTGGGAGCCTGAGGACTAATGTCCAAAGTCAGAGCCCCCCGAGCTGACAAATCATTGCGTTTATATAGAGTCTATATCAACGGTTGCTTAATTCAACACATATCTGTCGACGTTACACTCCAACAATCATGTATTTACAAATTAATCCTTGTTTAAATTGAACATTTTTTATGATCATTACTTCTCTTCACTCTGTTAGGTAAAAACAATGTATTCCCCCAAGATCTACCTATCCATATTGTGAATAATGACATGTTCTACCACAGCCTACTCTTGGAATGTATTCTGAGATAAGTTCCTACCTCTCCAGTATTCCGTACTGCCCTTACCTAACAACTGTTTCTAACAACACACAGCCTATGGCCTACTAAGAATTCTAAGCTTTAGCCAAACTACTTCTACTAAACTTTTGCTAGTCTGAAATGCAACACCCCTGCCCACGCTGGGTGGGAAACTGCTGCTGCAGGGCTCAGGGGCAGCGCTGGAGAGAGCAGCGATCCCTGCTATCCATGGGATTTTCCGAGGGGCTGCAGGACACCCACCCCCTCCTGCACGCCCCTCGGCCCCAGGCTGGCTCTCGGCTCCGCGGCTGGGTGGGAAACACCAGCTCCAGGGAAAAGCAGAGGCAGCCGAGCCCCGCTCAGGTCCGGGCATGCGAGCGAGCCTGGGGCTGGAACGCTGCTCCAGCTGTGCCGGGGAGCTCCCGGTGCTCGGATCAGCTGCACCGGGGCCGACCCGGCTGGGAGTGCTCCAGGCACGGCTCCAGACCGGTCCTGGCCCGTGCAGGGCTTGGGCAGAGCCTGGACCCTCTGCCCAGCGAGCTGGGGCTCCCCACCCCACTGCTCCCCAGAGCCGCTGCTGGAGCCCGGCCCCAGGCTGGTTTTCCAGCTCCCCACGAAGCTGACCCGGCCCCAGGCTGGTTTTCAGCTCCCACAAAGCTGATCTGCTCCCAGGCTGGTTTTCCAGCTCCCACAAAACTGATCTGCTCCCAGGCTGGTTTTCCAGCTCCCAAACAGCTGATCTGGTCCCAGTCTGGTTTTCCAGGTGATCTGATCCCAGGCTGGTTTTCCAGCTCCCCACAAAGCTGATCCAGTCCCAGGCTGGTTTTCCAGCTCCCACACAGCTGATCTGATCCCAGGCTGGTTTTCCAGCTCCCACAAAGCTGATCCGGTCCCAGGCTGGTTTTCCAGCTCCCACAAAGCTGATCCGGTCCCAGGCTGGTTTTCCAGCTCCCACAAAGCTGATCCAGTCCCAGGCTGGTTTTCCAGCTCCCACAAAGCTGATCCTGTCCCAGGCTGGTTTTCCAGCTCCCCACACAGCTGACCTGGTCCCAGGCTGGTTTTCCAGCTCCCCACAAAGCTGATCCAGTCCCAGGCTGGTTTTCCAGCTCCCCACAAAGCTGACCCAGTCCCAGGCTGGTTTTCCAGCTCCCACAAAGCTGATCCTTGCTCCCATCCCGCTCCTCCAGCTGCTCTTGGGGTCTGCAGAGCCCCAGGTGCTTCAGGAGAGGGGCAGTGGAGGTGTGGGGCCAGGATGTGTTCCTGAGCTTTAGGCTGATGCATTTTCCTGGCTGTGATTGCTCTTAATGCTGAAGAAATCGAGCAATTGAAATAAATGACCAGAAACTGTTTATATGACTCTTACCTCTTCTGCAGGCCATTAGTGGGTCCGTTTTCCAGCAGAGCCCCTTCAGGACCCCATCCTAAGCCCAAGTCCTTTTGTAGGCAAAGCATCTTGGA